GGGAGGGCAGGTGCTTCACCAGAACCCAAGTGCCCCTCACCCCACCCTGCTGCTTGGGGACATCCACGATGACAAAACGGGCTGGGGCAGCTTCTCCTGTCAGTGGCCTGTCTTCAGTGAGACGCCCGCTTCCTGTGAGAGGAAAGGCCCCTTCGGGGGTTGGGGGGGAAGGAGCTGGTGCCTGCCCCTCCCCCCACCCCCAGCAGTGCCCCGGGGCAGGGGAAGAGGGGGGCAGAAGACACCTAGAGACAGCACTTTGTGGGGTTCCAGGTCTTTAATTTTCCCTGCTTTATCTTTTTTTTTCTTTTTTCTTTTTTTAACAATCAAATTGGCAGAAAATGGCTGGGGCTGGTGGGCACTGGGGGTCCACTGAAAAATCCCCAAAATTCACACTGAGGTTTCAGTCCCCGTTGCTGAGGTGGGGATGAGGTCAGGCTTCACGGAGATTTCCCAACTCACCCTAGAACATTTTTCCCAAACGGCTGGAGAAGAGGTCAGAATAGGTCCCCCATTACTGTAGATGAGGATATGGTCCCCCCACCCCTCAAGCTCTTCTGATAATCGGAGATAGAAGGCTGTGGTTTCTAATTGCCTAAAATCATCTCTTAAAAATAGAAAACACGTGCAGTTGGCTTTGGTACAAAAAAGAAAACAACGACAACAAAAAAACATTCTGGTCCCGTGGGTTTTCCCCTCACCCCCCAACAAAGCCGTTAGGGCCACCTCAGCCCCTCCTCCATCAGCTCCGGAAGCCAGGCGGTCTCCCTGGGGCTCCCGGGGAGGATGGACAAGGGAGAAGAGCAGTGCGAGGCTGAGGGGGAGGGAGAGGGGCGTGGCCCTGCCCACAGCCCCTCTTGGGGGGGGGGGGGTCAGCAGGGTCCTGCGGTGCAGCCCCTCCTCACAGACGGTGTTGCCCAGGAGGGGCGTCAGGGTTAGAACCCAGCAGCGGCACGGTTAAGCCTGAATAAACCCCAGTAGTGTTACAGGACAAGGCCCCCTGATCCCTATGGCTTGGTTCCCATGTCCCTGGTGCTCTAAATCTCCCCACTCCCTGCGTCACTAATAAACAATAAATAAATAAATTTTCCTAAAGTAGAGGGAAGAAGGCATGAAAAACTGGCATCTGTGGTGTAGCTTCTGGATGCCACCAGGGGGCACTGCGGCCCAATTCCTCCAGCTTCCTAAGCGGCCCCAGGTGTCCAAGGAGCCCAAGAGCTGGCAAGGACAATCAGCAGTTCTAATGTTCCCTCATCATTGGCGGATTGGAGTCCCCAGAGTTTGCCTCCCTCGGTGTGTTCTTCATGGGGGCACAGGACGGGGGAGGGGCCCCCTTAGCTCTCTGAAGCCACAGGCTCCCCGTCGCGAGTCTCTGTCTCTTCCGGGATGTCCTGCATTCGGGTGAAGTCTAAAGGGGGACGGGGCAGCGTTAGTGAGAGGGCACCCGCTCTGCGAGCAGCTGCACCCCTACACTGACGCCGCCCCATGTCAGCAAAGTAACGTTCCCACACCTGTGTGCTGCTTCCCTTCCTGAGGATAGGAGGATACGGCTTGGCCAATAAAATACAAAATATTCTGGGGCGCCTGGGTGGCTCAGTCAGTTGAGCATCCGACTAGCTTTTGCCCCACATTGGCCTCTGCCAATGACAGCGTGGAGCCGGCTCGGGACCCTCTCTCTCCCTCTTTCTCTGCTCCTCCCCTGCTTGTCCTCTGTCTCTCTAAAATTAAAAATAAAATAAGATAAACAAATAAGGGCGCCTGGCTGGCTGAGTAGTGGAGCATGGGACTCGATCTCAGGGGTGTGAGTTCAAGTGGCCCCACGCTGGGTGCAGAGATCACTTAAAAATAAAATCTTAGGGGCGCCTGGGTGGCGCAGTTGGTTAAGCGTCCGGCTTCAGCCAGGTCACGATCTCGCGGTCTGTGAGTTCGAGCCCCGCGTCAGGCTCTGGGCTGATGGCTCGGAGCCTGGAGCCTGTTTCCGATTCTGTGTCTCCCTCTCTCTCTGCCCCTCCCCCATTCATGCTCTCTCTCTGTCCCAAAAATAAATAAATGTTGAAAAAAAAAAAATTAAAAAAAAAAAATCTTAAATGGGGTTCCGGGGGCAGGGGGTTCAGTTAAGCATCTGACTCTTGGTTTTGGCTCAGGTCGTGATCTCACAGTTTGTGGGTTCAAGCCCCACATCAGGCTCTGTGCTGACAATGCAGAGCCTGCTTGGAGTCCGCCCCCGCCCCTCCAGCCCACATCTCTCTCACTCTCAAAACAAATAAAACTAAAAACATAAACAAATAAGATACAAAGTATTTTAAGATGGTTACATAAAGGCACACTAGCTTTTGGTTATTTTGTGTTTCCTGAACAAACTATGAGAACTTGGAAGGTCTTAGAATTTTTTTTTTCTTAGAAACCTATTTCTATTTGAAGAGGCTGAGATCACACTCACTGGAGGAGACAGAGGCTCCTACATGTGCTTCCTAGAGCTCCGCCACCCGCTCACCATCAAAAGAGGCTGCAGGTGTGTCCTCTGTGTCCCTCCCAGGAGTCACCATAGCCCTGGGAGGTTAACTAGGGGTCACCTCAAATGTCCCCAGGACACACAGCCAAGGGCGGCACCCCACTTCCTTTCTGCGCCTCACCTCGCGGACTATGGGGAGGGGACAGGCGGCTGCCCCCCTCCTCCTCGCTGCCCGTGTCGGGGTCACTGCTGTCCTGCAGCCGTTCCTCGGGGCTGCCCAGGTCCTGCCTCTCTCGGTCCTCAAAGGGTCGATGGATAGAGCGAATGGTCACAGACAAATCCAGGCGGTCGTGGCCTCGGCTGGGCTGTGACGGGCCGGCAGGAAAGGCAGCAGGCCGAGGAATGAGCTCAGCCAGGGCAGCACCGCTGAGCGCCTTGTGCCCCTGACCGCCCGTCCCAGCCCCCCAGTTGCCCAGTTCTGTGCCCCACTGCCTATCCCAGCCGCCCAGACGGCCCGTGCCGGCCCCCCAGCCGGCGCCCAGTGCTTCTGGCCGCGGCCGATCGCCTTCGGGCTCGAGTCC